TGGACCTCATCAGCATTTGGGTAGAGGAGGCTGTGCAGTCCCAGCTGCGTTCCAGCCATAGGAATTATGATACCTATGGACAGATTTCATGATGCATGACAGAAAGGGGCCATGACTGGGACACATTGCAGCGTAGGGTAAAAGTGAAGGAACTGCAGAATGCCTACCACAAGGCGTAGGAGGCAAACCGCCGCTCCGGTGCTGCACCCACAAGCTGCCGGTTCTGTAAAGAGTTGGACATGATACTCAGTGGCAACCCCACCTCCACTGCGAAGGCCCCTGTGAATACTTCGTTGGCTTGCATGCCAGTTGAGAGTGGACTGAGCCAGGAGGAGGAAATCTTGGACGAGGAGGGGAGGATGACTCAGAGGCCAGAGATGCATGCAGCCAGGAGCTCTTTTCTACCCTGGAGGAGCCTAGCCAGTCACAGCAGTTGGATCTTGGCGAAGCGCAAACAGGAGAGGAGACCCCTGGTAAGTGGACCTGATTTTGGGAATTCTTGAAGTTGTTGGAAAGCAGGCTTGTCTCCTACCGCATGCCTACTCTGAGCGGCGGAACAGGCTGTTGATTGACTCCCTCACTTCACGGGAATCTCCCTCAGAGATCTCCAGAAAATTCTTGTGGAGATACTGGGCAATCTGCAGCCTCAGGTTCTTTGGCAGAGCTGCTTTGTTTCTTGCCCCATTAATGGCAACTTTCCTGTGCCACTGTGCTGTCACTGGGGGGAGGGAGAGGGGAACCATTGCTGCACACAGGTGAGCTGCATAAGGGCCAAGGCAGAAGCCGCAGGCTTGGAGAAGGCCCTCCCTTGATTCCCTGCTCACCCTCAGCAGTGAGATATCGTCCATTATGATCACATCCTGTGGAAATGTGGGGAGAGGAATGATTATCAGCCCCCTCCTACAGATCTGGCTCTCCCCAAGAGCCACATGCCCAGTGTACAGCAGGATCCGGGAACAGTGATTTACCCTGCCCCTCTGGCTACTCACCATTTTGGGGGTCTTGTGGCTCATGTGTGCTTGCCTGGGGGCAGCCAGTTAGTGACAGGTGTGTAAGTACTGGCTGTGTTTTAAATCACTGAATCAGTGTTGGCTGTGTTGCAAACAATACTGCTTCTGTAAAATGTTTTAAACTTCACAGAGATGACCTTCGGAGTCCAGCCTTCCTCTTTATCAGCAGCAAAACGGCTTCACAGAATTAGAAAGTGGCCAAGAAGAACTAAGGAGGACTTTCTGCGCGAGGTTATGATGCACTCTGCCGCCGAGAAACAGGAATTGAAGGAGTGGTAGGACAGCGAGGAGAACGCGGCACACCAGAATGAAGCCATGGAGCGGCTCTTAAACATTATGGAGCACCAAACGGACACACTCCAAGCGATACTAGCTCTCCAAACCGAGCAGCTGTGCGCCCACCCTCCCCTTCAGCTGCTGTCGCAAAACTCTTTCCCATGTGCCCCATAGACACTGCCAACACACTCATATCAACTTCCTGCCTCCAGTCTCTACCCGTAGCATTCCACTCCTCCCTCCTCACAGTCCAGGACTGTGGACTCAAACTACCCACTGCACTCAATACCCATTCCTCTGCAGTTTGGCCCTGCTGAAGTACAGTACCCGCTGCATTGTACTCCAAAGGAGAAGGTTGGATATGAGATAAGTTGGGGGAGGGATAGCTCAGTGGTTTGAGCATTGGCCTGCTACACCCAGGGTTGAGAGTTCAATCGTTGAGGGGGCCATTTAGGGATTTGGGACAAAAATCTGTCTGGGGATTGGTCCTGCTTTGAGCAGGGGGTTGGACTAGATGACCTCCTGAGGTCCCTTCCAACCCTGATATTTTATGATCCCTGGACATACACAAATCTTTAGCCATCCTGGGACCCCTCCTCCTCCTGGGACCTTCCCTTCCCCCATCCCCCTCCCTGCTGATGTATTTTTTCATTTGTTGTCTTTTAATAAAAGAATTGTGTTGGTTTGAAAGCAATCTTTATTCTATTAAGTGAAAGCAAAAAGAGCACTGCAAAGCAACATACAATTATGTTAAACCCCCTTATGCATCATGTGCACTAGTCACCTCCTAGCATTACAAGCCCTGCTATCCCGAACATAGCAAAACATATTAGTGGCTTTCAGCTTCAAATTGCTGCCTCGAGACATTCCTTATCCTTATGGCCCCCTCGCTGTGCCCATCTAATAGCCCTGGTTTCTGGCTGTTCAAACTCAGCCTCCAGCCACTGAGTCTCTGTGGCCCAGCCCTGACTGAAGCTTTTACCCTTCCCTTCACAAATATTATGGAGTGTACAGCACGTGGCTTATAAACATAGGCCAGGTCATAGGCCAGGTCCAGCTTCCCATACAGGCATCACCAGCGGGATTTTAAATGGCCAAATGCACACTGAACAGTCATTCTGCACTTGCTCAGCCTGTTGTTGAACTGCTGTCAAGTTGCCCCATGTATGGCTTCATAAGCCATGGCATTAAGGGTTAGGCAGGGTCTCCCAGGATCACAATGGGCATTTCGACTTCCCCTACGGTGATCTTGTGGTCTGGGAAGCAAGTCCCTGCTTGCAGCTTCTTGAACAGGCCAGTGTTCCAAAAGATGCATGTGTTATGCACCATTCCGGACCAGCCTGCGTTAATGTCCATGAAATGCCCCTGGTGATCCACAAGCAGCTGGAGAACCATTGAGAAATACCCCTTGCAATTAATATGCTAGGTGGTCTTGGGCCAGAATTGGAATGTGCATGCCATCTATTGCCCGTCCGCAGTTAGGGAAGCCAATTTGTGCAAAGCCATCCACAATGTCACGCACATTGCCCAGAGTCATGGTCTTTCGGAGCAGGATGCGATTAATGGCCCTGCACACTTCCATCAACAGGAGTCCAATGGTCAACTTTCCCACTCCAAACTTGTTAGCGACTGATCGGTAGCAATCTGAAGTAGCCAGCTTCCACAGTGCAATCACCAAGCGCTTCTCCAACGACAATACATGCTTCTTTTATTCTCGTGTATTGCGCCGCAGTGCTAGGGCGAGCTCATCACCCAGTCCCATGAATGTGGTTTTCCTCATCCAAAAGTTCTGTGGCCACTGCTCATCATCTCAGATGTGCATGACGATGTGATCCCACCACTCAGTGCTTGTTTCCTGAGCCCAAAAGCAGCGTTCCACTGTGGTCAGCACCTCCATGAATGCCACAAGCAATCTCGTGTCGTAGCTACTATGTGTGGCAAGAAAAGTTGTCACATTTCTCTTGCCTTTGTAGTTTAAGGAATAACTCTACTGGTGACGTGTTGGTCAGAGCGAGCAGCATACTGGTCAGTAGTTCGGGATCCATTCCTGAAGCCCGAAGAGGCAGGGTTGAAAGATGGCGCCAACTTTGTGGGATGCGAAGCAACGCATCACAGGTCATTGGGGCAGGACCCAGGCTGCCGTGCGACCCTCTCCACCCTCTCACAAGTCTTAGTGGCAGAAGAGAAAGAGGTGCTCTGTGGGATAGCTGCCCAGAATGCATCGCTCTGAATACCGCTGCAAGTGCTGCAACTGTGAACACGCTATTGTGCGGGCAGCTGACAGTATGAACACACAACAGCCGTTTCCCTTCAGTGCTCTCTGAGCGGCGCTGTAACTGCTGGTGCTGTAACTTAGCCAGTTTAGATGTGCCCTTAGCGATGCAGCTATGAAGCAGGAGTGAGCCTGCAATCAAGATAATTTGATACAGTTTATCTGGCAATTCAAAATATTATTTTGACTTTTTACATAACTTTAAAAAATCCTACATTATCACAAGTTATGTTTGATTAAAATAGAGCTGGCTTAGTAGCTGGATAGGGTAAAGGGCAATTTTTTTAAACAGTGTTCTCTAACTAGTTGAAAGCTACCACTACCTAAATATCACATTTTGCCTAAGTGGCTGTAATTTTCATTGCTTTATATGTGAAAACATTGTTGGGAGGAGAGTGTAATTAATGTTTGGAACATTAGGAACTAGTTTCCCTTACTCGTATGGGCATGGGGTCAAGGTGGGTCACTGTCTCCCTCTTGGGGGAGGGTTGCAGTGTGAGTCCAGTATGTCTCTTAGGGAGATGCCAGAGTCACAGTCTGTCTTGGGGGGAGGGAGGAGGAAGGGAGGGTGATGAGTCATCCCCATATTAGGGGCTTTGTTTTATATAGGTAACTACTTACCCTCTCTGCTGCTGAAAAAAAAGGCCTGATTTTTCACATTTGCTATCTGGTCATGCTAGGTAGGACGGGGGGTGTCAGCGTGGGTCGCAGTTGCTCTTGGGGAAGGGAGTTGCCAATTTTGGTTGGATATATTTGTGGAGATTTCATCACATGACAATCTTTAATTGAAGGTTAATCTTTAATTGCTGGAGAGTTCAGGCCAATCCCCGAGGGTTGGCAACCCTAAGTGTGGGTCACAGTCTGTGTTGGGGAAGGGGGGAGATGAGACTGAGAGTTATGGTCTAGCTCCCCCTGGGGTGGCTGTGTGAGGCATGGGGGTGGGGGCACGGTGCATCTCACAGCCTCCCCCTTGTGCTGCTGCGCTGGGACCTTCAGGATGGCTGCAGTGCTGGGCCCGCTGTCCCTTGCGGGGACCGGTGCGAGGGTGCTGTGCCCTGCGCTGTGCTGATGGGCCGCGCCAGGTTGGGGGGACTCAGTGCCACCTCCTGCTCCCAGCACAGGTGGGGAAATGGAACGGGGCTGGGGCTTGGGTAAGGTGACCAGACAGCAAGTGTGAAAAATCGGGATGGGATGGGGTGGGGTGTAATAGGCACCTATATAAGACAAAGAACCAAATAGCATGACTGTCCCTATAAAACCGGGACAGCCGGTCACCCTAGGCTTGGGGGACTGGGGTTGAGGGGGGGGATGATCGCACGTGCAAGTAATAGATTGAGGCAGGCTGAGGCCCTCTGATAGGCAGTTGCGCTAAACAGGGAGTAAGGGGCGGAGCAACAACTCTGCTGCTCGTTACGCCGCTTAACTGGCAGTTTTCTCCACAACCGCTAAAAGTCGGGTCCCGCCTTCTTCTTACGTCCTCTCTTGCATTGCGGGGTGGGAGCTCGCAGACGTCATTAAAAAGCGCCGGAAATGTCCCGCTGTGAGGCGGTTGTGGGCCCTGTCACGTGATGGCAGTGGCAGCTCTGTAAGCCCGTGTCGTTAGCTGTAGCGGCGCGTTGTTTTGACGTAGTAGGGGTCGGTTGAGGGAACAGGGGGGCCTGGCCGCTGCCATGACCATCTGCCACTTCTTCCTGCAGGGCCGCTGCCGCTTCGGCGAGAAGTGCTGGAACGAACATCCCCGCGGCGGGGGGCGCTCGGGCCCGGCCGCGCCGCCCTCCCAGGGTACCCGCGTCTCCTCTTCTCCTCCGCCTGCGGGGGCCGCCGCCGGCCCCTCCCGGCGCCCTTACAGAGCGGGGGCGGCGGCCGCGCTACGGGGATTTCGCGCCCGTGGCGATCGGCCCTCGCCTGCTCTCTGCGCGCGGGGAGCCGGCGGGTGAGGGCTCCGAGCCCCGGGTTT